ATAAGAAAGCACTTCCATTCAGCTGTGTTCTGATTAGTGCCTTACGTAATTTTAACAAAACTTTACTTCGTTTGTGCTCTAATTCCTATGAAATAAAGATCCACATTTCGCCTGTCTTCCCTAATACCCACTGAAATTGGATACCAGCTTTTTTTTTGTGATGAAGAATCCCAATCCTTCTGTTCCATAGATTTCTGCAGTCTGTCTCAACTTAAATGATGCTCAGGCAATCAAGGTTCTGTCTTTATGTATATTCAAGGCTGGCATAGAAAGTTTTATAATCATTAAGGGAATCAGTAGTTGTACTGATATGCAGGAAAGTGGGATTGAATATTACCAGACCGGCCAGGCTCTCATTGAGTGGTGGAGTGGACTCGATGGATCAAATTGTCTGCCCCAACATCTCATTGTCTTCTGATCTTATGGTGGATGAGCACCAACGTGTACATGTTTTACCTTTTGCCTTCTGTGTACTTGCGTTTTTGTATTTCCTTTTTTTAACTGCTTGTGTCTGCAGAGTTATAACCGACAGTGTGTCTGCCTCTACGTTCTTGGAGGTGCGTGAGTCCATGTATTTATTTATCGATATTTGTCAATGTTAATTCATGCGCCTTGCAATCTCTCTCTGTATGTCTTTGTGAGTCTGTGTGGTTAATTTTTTTTTAATCTTTATTGGTGTGTATGTTCATCCTTGCGTGTGATATATGTGCCTATACTCTTCTGCTTGTGTCTCAGTGTGAATTTTATGCTTGCGTTTGTTTATGTGACGTATTTACGATGCAAATTTGAATGTTTGTTTATACTTGTTTCTGCGTAGTAATGCGCGTGTCTCTGATGAATAACCGACTTTATGTGAACTTGGGTATATGTTGCTGTGTTTTTACGTGTGGGTTTATTTGCCTCTATGTCGTTCTATCGTTAGATGCCTTATTTTCTGCTTGTGTTTTAACATTTTTATGCAGGGTGCGAACTGAACACAAACGGTGCTCTCTTAAAATTTCTACATGATTATTCTTCTGAAACAATGCAGTAGCACTTTTTTATTCATTCACGGGATGAGGATGCTGATGGCTCAGCCAACATTTATTAGCTATCCTTAATTGTTTTTTTTTATCAATGTCCGTAATGCATAATAAAGCTTTGTGCATCTGAATTTAAGCTATGTTTGCATATGTTGTTTTTTCTGTGTCCGTCCCCTTGCGTATAATTGTGCTTTCAGGGCATTATCCTGTGTCATTCTGATGCATAGGCCGTCACTGATGGCATACCTCACCTCCCAACAAGATGTTTTTGTAAAGCATATTGAGGGGAATACCAGCCCATCCAATGATACCTCTTGCGCTGTTTTACTTTCTCCCATTCCATTTAGGCAGAAATCCGAATCTTCTTTCTGGAGCTAAGCCCTGAAACATTGAAGTAAAACTCTTTTTCATTGTAGTTGTTTTCCTCAGAACAGTTTTGTGAAATAGTGACATTGCTACGAAGTTCTCCTTCCTCGATTTATTTTTACGGAATTATTGTCTATCCATCATCTTCGTGCTGCTGACTTTATTTTCCGAGATGAATGGCAGAGATTCGTTGTCAGAACTCTCCAGAGTCAGACAGTTTACATAATGGGACAAGGCCGCAGGTGACCAGGACATTATTTTAATCTCATTTCAATGTCTGGTGGCTTCATCTGAGATTACACCAGTGGAAGAGAGCCATTACACCAGGATGTGACATTGAGCCAATAGGATCTTATGAAGGAGTGTCTTCCTGTCCGTGTTTGGACTTTAAAGAAACTGACAAAATGTTCTCGGCAAGGACCATACAGTTATCCAGTGCCTGGGTTCTGTTTGAAATGTTCATTGTCGGGAAGGAGAGTCCAATTACGTCACTTTTAAAATACGAATACAGAATTGTTCCAGAGCACGGATTTTAATGCTATCTTTTCTTCTTTCTGAATATATTACAGAACTGAGAGATGGAAATTCCTTAACATAGTCTCAGTCTTCCAAGAGCACAGCAGACCGTGAAGCACTGACAATAAAATGTACCTACAGTTCAGCAAAAAAAAAAGGCTATCATTTATATTGGTATCGACAACAACCAGGCAAACAGCTCCAGTTTGTTATGTGGAGAATGTCTTGCATACAGACATTAGGAAAGCAGTCTCTTTCAAAAACCGTGTCTCTGCAGAACTTCAAACCGGACAAAACTCACCAGTTTAACCATCCCGGGGCTGCAGGTGACTTATGCTGCCATGTATTTCTGTGTTTTCAGAGTCACTGTGTTATAAAGCAATCTCAGCCCCGTACAAAATCTGTTGTACTCTTTTACATCTTCCTACTATTGGAGTATATAACGTGTGCAGAATCACACAAATAAATGCAACCACAAAGTGAAGTGCACACTGTTATATGCTCAATGACAGGGTCGCGAGGGAACCAAAGTAACTTGAAAATGAGACAACAAGGTGCAGGGCTGGATGAACACAGCAGGCCAAGCAGCATCATAGGAGCAGAGAGGCTGACGTTTCGGGCCTAGACCCTTCATCAGAAAAGGGGGAGGGGAAGGGGGTTTTGAAATAAATAGGGAGAGAGTGGGAGGCGGATAGAAGAGGGATAGAGGAGAGGATAGGTGGAGAGGAAACAAACAGGTCGAAGAGGCGGGGATGGAGCCAGTAAAGGTGAGTGTAGGTAGGGAGTTAGGAAGGGGATAGGTCAGTCCAGGGAGGACGGACAGGTCAAGGGGGCGGGATGAGGTTGGTCGGTAGGAGATGGAGGTGCGGCTTGAGGTGGGAGGAGGGGATAGGTGGGAGGAAGAACAGGTTAGGGAGGCAGGGACGAGTTGGACTGGTTTTGGGATGCGGTGGGGGGAGGGGAGATTTTGAAACTTGTGAAATCCACATTGATACCATTGGGCTGCAGGGTTCCCAAGCGGAATATGAGTTGCTGTTCCTGCAACCTTCGTGTGGCATCGTTGTGGCACTGCAGGAGGCCCAGGATGGACATGTCGTCTGAGGAATGGGAGGGGGAGTTGAAATGGTTCGCGACTGGGAGGTGCAGTTGTTTGTTGCGAACCGAGCGTAGGTGTTCTGCAAAGCGGTCCCCGAGTCTCCGCTTGGTTTCCCCGATGTAGAGGAAGCCACACCGGGTACATGTCCACCAATCAGTGTGTGTGTGGGTATTTTGTGTGTGTTATTCCTGTGTGAATCCTGATACCTAGGCAACAGCTCACTGCTTCCTTTTGAACAAAACAAAATGACACAATGTAAAGAGCAGTCACATTGGACTGGAAACATTCGATCTGTTTCTCTAATATTATTTCAGTTGAAAATTCTCAGCTTTGTCAAAAGCATGTGGATTATTTAATGCGTTTAAAAAAAAATAAACCTGCATGACTTATCATTGAAGTACTAGATTAAAAGTTTCGTGCAGCTTCATGAACCATTCTTCTAGGTCGAATTGATGTAAAGGACAGAAAGAAAGAGAGTTTGGGATAAATAATGGTCAGAGTCATGAGACCGGAAAGTAAGAGGAATGGACGGGGAAAGGAATGAATTAAAAGTACAGACATCAGCCCAGAATACCGAGGAGCTGAATTAATGACAATAAAAGCTCAGAGATAACAAGGAGTAGAGCTGGATGAACACAGCAAGCCAAGCAGCATCAGAGGAGCAGGAAGGCTGACGTTTCGGGCCTCGACCCTTCTTCAGAAATGGGGGAGGGGAAGGGGATTCTGAAGTAAATAGGGAGAGAGAGGGAGGCGGATAGAAGATGGATAAAGGAGAAGATAGGTGGAGAGGAGACAGACAGGTCAAAGAGGCGGAGTTGGAGCCAGTAAAGGTGAATGTAGGTGGGGAGTTTGGGAGGCGATAGGTCGGTCCCGGGAGGACGGACAGGTCAAGGAGGCGGGAAGAGGTTAGTGGGTAGGAGATGGGAGTGGGTCTTGAGGTGGGAGGAATGGTTAGGGAGGCGGGGACGAGCTGGGCTGGTTTTGGGTGATTCTCCAGCATCGACAACCTCAAACATAGAATATCTTTCCACAGTGGAATTAAAGCAACATGAAATGTGCAACAGTCAGAAAAGGGTGTTGCAGAAACTATTTATTTAAATGTGTGCGAAAATTTGATCTTTGTATAAATTATGTATCTTTTGCACAATATTTTCACCGGACTATATCATTTTGCAACATCGTCCGCAGTTGCGAGACTGAGTGAAGCCACCGAGTTTGAAGTTCAGTTTGACCTGATCAGATGTTTGACCGAGGTCTCTCTGACCTGCTCAGCATAAAGTAATGATCAGCACTGTTGAATTAAAAAGAGGACAGGGCGTGACAGGGAGCAAGGGAAAGTGGCAGTGATGGTGGGGTAGGAGAATGGAAGATTTTTTTTTGTTCTTCCAGGGTCAAAACTATACTTTCTTTGCTCAATTTATGTCACCCAATAGAAACACCCACTTACTGCTCAGCTCATTACTGTGGGGCCAGGGAGGGCCACAGCGATCACTGACAGAGCATGTCCCCACCTTCAGCCCCACCCCACCTCTGTGCAATGGGCGACTGTGGGAGGTGATTTCATATCCAGATCATAGGGCTGGTGAAGTTACAAAAGACTGTAGGTTCCCTCCTTAAAACTCCCGCTTATTCAGGCAATGCACGTCCACAGACCAATATCCATATGACCTGTCAATTACCTCATTGACGCTGCCGCCTGTGAATCAATTTGATTCTTCCAAAATGTTTCATCCGAGCTCACGATCCAGTCTCCTAGAGTAGTCTGTAATTAGCGGTCATCGAAACCATCATTTGTAAATATGGGAACGATGGGAAACCTCTTTATTTTGATCCTGTGTGTCTGTGAACCCAGTGAGTACCTATCGCAGAAACCAAAATTGTGTTTATTTAAAACTAAATTACTGCCCAGTTCGTTCGTATTATAGGGGTGGTCTGCGTTTTTAATCACTTTGTGTGGATCGCTTCTTAAGCCCACTCACCTCTCTCTGTTTATTTTCCAGGTTGTTTCAGTCAGTCAGTGACACAGAGCCCGACAAGGGTAACTGCGAAGGAGTGTCAGACTCTCGCCATAACTTGTGTTTTTGATGATTACCATTTTTTTCATACTTATCGTTATGTGAGTGGACAATTCTTCAGACAAACGCAAACAATGACGGAGTGGGAGCAGGTCTCCGGCAGTGGGAGATTTTCAATGCTCTCAAATGAAGCACCAAAGACATTTTCGTTGGAAATTCGGGATGTCAGAGTTCAAGACGCCGCCACCTACTACTGTAAAGCTCGGTATTCGTGGGAAAAACACAGTGATGGGCGTCGGCTTCCTACTGTTCAAAAACTCTCACTGGAGATTATTACAGAATCAGATTGAAAACCGATTTAAGCGACCTGAAAATACCCATAGTTCTGATTCACAGCTTCTGCAAGCAATCCAATTTACAATTAGAAAGGAGTATTGTCAACAAAATCTTGAGTTTCATATATGCCTATTGTGTTTGGATGGCGATGTCTTTCCCGGGAATAGTGTGGGTGAATAGACTTCAGGCATAGCAGTTCACAGTCAAAGGATGCACACACGAATCAAGATTGTGTTTGAACAACTCGAATCGTGAATCACAGTCCGGTTGTAATGTCCTGAAATCTCATCTAGTCTTGGGAAGTTTTACACAGACTTGTAACGCTGTGCAATTGGGATATACGGCACAGTGAAAGGACCTCGACCAAATACCTCTGTACAAGTAAAACATAAATTCTCCGGCACCAATACACAATTGTTATCCTGATGTTTCCATCGCTTTTTTCAGGGTTAATATCTTTTCATTGTCCAGCAACCAGTATTTCGTTTAGATTCTTCTCCGCTTTTATGAAGTGAGCATCTGCCTCCAGTGTTCTTGTGCAATGTGCCAAAAGGTCAGGAGATGAGCTGGAACCGAAAGAAACTTGGACACAGATAATATTGGTTATCTTTCCGAAATCTCCCAAAAAAAAGCTATTCAAACTGCGAGCTGATGATTTCTCATCTCTTTTCAGGTAACAATGGTTATTGGACAGGGGAGAATGAGAGGAGTAACATTGTGTAATGATTACTATGCGGATGGATCTGGAACAGTGGTGACTGCCGAAGCTGGTAAGTGACTCCACACACCACCTTATCATATGCCGTCTCGTATAACGTTCCATTGAATATTAGGATCTTTAGTTGCAAAGAAACTTCAACAAACCTCTTCTGAGTAATCCTCTCTGTCACAGTTTCCGAATTATTAGCAGAACAGGAGAGTCGAGGTCTGATTTGAGCAGAAGAAAGTATGTATCAGACCTAGCCCTGAGTCGGTGGTTTCACATTACCTGGGTCATTATTAATCTTACAGGTTAATAGTGGGGCCCCATGAATAGTGGAGAGTACAGACGCCAGGAACACTAAAGACACTTTGTGTCAGTCAGAGACTGTCTTCCTGTAGTACTGCCTCAGAAAGAGAAGGAAGGTAAGCGTCTCCACATTTTGGGAACATTGTTTGAAACGGAGAAGGCTTCTATATCAACACTCACATTCTCACTTTTTCAATCTCAGACCGAAGTATGGAATTGGCAACAATTTTTACTTCAATGTAGTCGTATTTTGGATGTCACTAAAACAGTGACTGGTGTGTGGAAATTAAGCTGCTACAGGCAACAGTTCAAACGGGGTTGGTGGGGGGTGGAGGGTGGAATGCTCATTCAGAACCTGCAAAAAACAAATGTGACAATTTCTGGGGCATTGTCGAAAGTGCATCGCCCTCACCACAAAGTTTGGTGAACTGTGTGGCGGGAAGGGCATGAATCGTTTACAGCATAGAATGGTGGGTAAAAGTTTGCTCTCTTGACTTGATAACAAATAGATTTGTTTTGGAGCAAGTGCTGTTAAGATTCATTAGGCAGTCTCCTGAAAAGTTGTTCTACTTTGTGAAGTGATTGTTAAGTCTGAGCTGCGTTGATTAGCGTTTAGAAGAAGGAAAATGATCTAATTTGAACATATGGAATTGTTAAGGGATAGATATTGAGTGGAATTTAATCTATGCTAAATAGCCTACACAGGGATCACAGTTTGAGATTAAGAGATCGGCAATAAGAGCTGCAAAGACTTGAAATAATTCAGTCAAGCCATTGTCTTGAATCTGCAACATTCTCGATCTGAAAAAATAGGGGAAGCCCATAGCCCAAGTATTTTGGCTGGGACTCTTTTCTATGGGGACGAGAGAAGCTCAATGAGATTTCATGGCAATATTATAAACAATGAGCTAGTGAATGGGGTGAATGAGACGGACGCAAAAGCAATGGAACATCAATATATCATGCTCAATATGATAACTAATCAAGTCATAAAGGTGGAGAAATTCAGAAACTGTCGTGGTGAAATGTGGAACTTGCCACCAGAGTGATTAGAGCACATTGTATTGAGTCATTCATGGAAGGTTTTGATAACACAGGGAGGAGAGCAGAATAGACATACACATTGTGCTGGATGGATAATGTAAATTAGATTTCGGTCTAGGACAGGTGTATTAGTATATGCACAGGCATATCAGTTGGGACGAATGACCTGATTCCTAACTTAATACTTAATGAAAACTTAAAAAGAAAATGTCCACTCCGAGTACACAGAAGACAATAAATCGATTCGGAAATTGAAACTTAGGGAGAGCTGAAGGAGAGTTCCCAATCAGTAACAACAATTCGACCCCCACACCCCCCCCCCCCCCCCGTCCCCAAGAAACAGTACAGGCTGAACGCAATCTACGACTGAGCTGTGCTGGCACAGATTGCCATGTTTGCAACGAAAGAAAAATGCACAAAGGAAAAGCAGAAATGAAAACGATGCTAATCGGAAATATTTCACGTTGGTGGTAATCGGAGAAGTGACCTGATTTGGAAATAAAACATAAAGTAGATCAAAAATCTGTTAGAATCTCCTTCAAAATCAAAACTGTAAAAAAGTATATAGTTAAGCTAATGGTACTGTTCAAACAAATAATTTGTTTTGGATTTTACTGAGCACATTGACGCAACACAGTTGGGTTACTTTTGGACAGTTATTTATGGAAATTGATTATAAAGTGATAGAGTCATACAGCATGGAAACATGCCGTTTCATCCAAATGGTCAAGGTTGACCAGGTTTCGTAAACTAAAGTAGTCCCATTTCCCTGAGTTTGGCCCATATCCCTCTAAATATTTCCTATTCCGGTATTTGTCGAAATGTCTTTTAAATGTTTTAACTGCACCTATATCTAATACTTCCTCCGGCAATTCATTATATATCTCTTTCCCGTTTCACCGTAAATCTATGCCCTCCAGCTTTGAAAGTTAGGATAATGTGTTCCCGAGGGTTTGTCTATCAACAGAATAAATAGAAGCAGAAATAAAGCAGACATCAAAGAACATACACTATAGCATTCAGCGCCTCGTGTGGTTACTGTTCTCTTCAGAGTTCTTTGCAACTACTCCCATGGTATGTGCCTTCTCCCCATAACCCTGTATTTTCTGTTTGATTCTGCTGCTGTTGATTAACCATTTGAAATTTCTGCTGAATCAGTTTCGACCATCAGTTTTGACAATGTATTCCACATTTTAAGAACTAAATACATAAAAGAAAATGTCACCTCATTGCCTCATTGGTTTATATTTCAATAAAAGAAAATAGATTCAAATGGACTATTAACAAATTGAATTGTCACAAAAATAGAACAGTTCTGGGGATTTACAATTTCTCCATGTAACAGAGGCTGAATAAGTAATAATGTTGAATATCATCCCACAGATTCCAATTCCCTGGTGTCCCAGATTCCGCCTCGACAAACCTCTGCTGCGGGTGACACCGTTACTTTAAGCTGCGACTATTCAGGGTTCTGTCAGTACACAATTTACTGGCACAGTCAGTCGTCAGGACAGGCTCCGAAATACCTCCTTCAAAGAAACACATCAGAAGAGCAGAGTGAAGAAACTGCTACTGGAGGACGAGCTTCTGCTTCTATTGATCATTGGACTGAAGTCAGTCAGATAATTATCTCTCGAATACAACTCAGTGATTCTGCTGTTCATTACTGTGCACGGAGTCGGCGATCAGCACACACAGTGATACAGAGCACGGAGAGAGTTACACAAAAACCTGAACATGGTGGGGATTACCAATACAGTGATACAGAGCTGGAAAACAGCAGTACAAAAACCAAAACATGGTGGGGAATACCGACACAGTGATACAGAGCTGGGGGAAAGCTGTATAAAAACCTTCAGAGATAGTAGGAACTGCAGATGCTGGTGAATCTGAGAAAACAAGGTGTAGAGCTGGATGAATACAGCAGGCCAAGCAGCATCAGAGGAGCAGGAAAGCTGACGTTTCGGGCTTAGACCCTTCTTCAGAAATGGGGGAAGGGAAGGGATTCTGAAATAAATAGGGAGAGGGGGAGGCGGATAGAAGATGGATAAAGGAGAAGATAGATGGAGAGGAGACAGACAGGTCAAAGAGGCGGGGTGGAACCACTAAAGGTGAGTGTAGGTGGGGAGTTAAGGAGGGGATAGGTCAGTCCAGGGAGGATGGACCTTGTTATCTCAGATTGTCCAGCATCTGCAGTTCCTACTATCTCTGAATCAATTTTAACCCCACTGCGAAGCATCTTCTAAGGATGTCTAACTTGCAGATGTTACCCTCCTCCCTCCGGAAAGACCTCAGTGGATCTCTCTCCCACTGCAACTCTCTCGTAATCTCTTTGGCACTGAAACTGCTTGACCACATCCTGAAGCAACCCAGGGACTACAGCCACATTAGCTTTCTTAGTACCTGCCTACGGAACCGGATCATTCCACCGGACTACAGTCGACTTTTAGGCCTTCCCAATTTGGCCCCAACTGTGACAACCGCTACATTCAGAACATTGAGATCCTTCAAAAACGTTTCTCCCTGCGATTCCTGAAACACACACTCGCAGCAATGCGCCGGCATCTCCTGGTACTAAAACCAAGCCTACTCCAGATCAGACCCTCCCTCTCCCAGACCTGCAAAGGACCTCTCCAGTTTTTCATTCTTCGCAGGATTCGCAACCTGAACTCACAATTCCACTCGGCTTTATTGGACACTATAAATCGGAAGTACACTAAACTTACTAGTGCCTGCCACGCAACACAGGCCTCCTCCATCCCCCAAATCCCCAACCCGACCCAGGACCTTCCCCACAATGTGCGTGCCGCCATTGGCGATGTGGCCATGACGGAGCACCCATGGATGACGTCACATCCGCCGCCACCGGGACGCCACTTCCGGTGCAGCGATCGCCATCGATTCCGCTGCTGATGCCACCGCCTCCGTTTCCGAGTCCGACACCACAGATATCAACGACGCACCTGCTGACACCGCTGCTGCTACCGCAACCAACATCCAGGACTTACAGACCGGCTCTGCTCCTCCCACCCCCTACCCTGTTCCGCCCACCGCCGACGCCGACGTCGCTCCGCCGACCGCCGACGCCGCTCCGCCCACCGCCGACGCCGCACGGCCCACCGCCGACGTCGCTCCGCCCACCACTGACGCCGACGTCGCTCCGCCCACCGCCGACACCGACGTCTCTCCGCCCACCGACTCCACAGCCAGCAGCTCCAAAGGAGAGAGTAGCACCCAGCCCTGCCGGGCCTTCACCATCCCCCCAGACCTCCCCCTACTGAGGACGAACGGTCAATCCTCAGTAAAGGACTCACCTTTTTCCCCCTGCACCCTAACATCAACGAATACCGCTCACGCTTTGACGTTGAACAGTTTTTCCGCCGCCTCTGCCACCGCTCTTACTTCTTTAACCATGTGTCTGACCCTCCCCCTACTGACCACTTCTCCCGCCTCCAACACACCCCCTCCTCCTGGACACCACCCCGAGGCCTCCTACCCTCCCTCGACTTCTTCATCTCCAATTGCCGTCGAGACATCAATTGCCTCAAACTCTCCACCCCTCTCACCCACTCCAAACTCTCCGCCACACCACATGCAACCCTTTGCTCACTCTGATCCAATCCCAAACTCACCATAAAACGCGGGGACAAGGGAGGCGCAGTTTTAGTATGGCGCACTGACCTCTAAATCGCAGAGGCCAAAAGCCAGCTCTCTGACACCTCCTCCTACCGCCCCCTTGATCATGACCCCACCCCCGACCACCAAAACACCGTCTCCCAAATTATCCACGACCTCATCACTTCAGGTGACCTCCCACCCACAGCATCCACCCTCATCGTTCCCCAACCCCACACCGCCTGCTTCTATCTCCTTCCCAAAATCCACAAACCTGACTGCCCTGATCGATTGTCTCCGCCTGGTCCTGCCCCATCGAACTTATCTCGAGTCCATTTTCTCCCCCTTCTTCCGGCAACTTCCCACCTACGTCTGTGACACCACCCACGCCCTCCACCTCCTCGAAAACTTCCAATACCCTGGTCCCCAACACCTCATCTTTACCATGGACGTCCAGTCCCTATACTCCAGCATTCCCCATGCAGAAGGCCTAAAGGCCCTCCGCTTCTTCCTGTTCCGCAGGCCCGGCCAATCCCCCTCCATTAACACCATCGTCCGCTTAGCTGAACTCGTCCTCACTCTCAACAACTTCTCTTTCAATTCCTCCCACTTCCTACAGACAAAAGGGTTGTCCATGGGTACCTGCATGGGCCCAAAGTATGCCTGCCTCTTTGTAAGTTACGTGGAACAATCACTCTTCCGTAGCTACACTGGCCCTGAACCTCACCTCTTCCTCCGTTACATTGATGACTGTATCAGCGCCGCCTCATGCTCCCACGAGGAACTCGAACAGTTCATTCACTTCAGCAACACATTCCACCCCAATCTTAAGTTCACCTGGACCATCTCTGATACCTCTCTCTCCTTCCTGGACCTCTCTGTTTCCATCTCTGGCAACCACCTGGAAACCGACATCCATTTCAAGCACACCGACTCCCACAGCTACCTAGAATGCACCTCCTCCCACTCACCTTCCTGCAAAAATGCCATCCCCTATTCCCAATTCCGTCGCCACCGCCGCATCTGCTCCTCGGATGAAACATTCCACTCCCGAACATCTCAGATGTCCTCGTTTTTCATGGACCACAACTAACCCCGCTCAGTGGTCAAGAACGCCCTCGACCGTGTCTCCCGCATTTCCCGCAACTCACCCCTCACACCCCCTCCACGCAACAACAACCAAAACAGAATCCCCCTCGACCTCACGTACCATGCCACCAACCTCCGGATCCAATGCATCATCCTTCGACACTTCCGCCATCTGCAATCCAAACCCACCACCAAAGACATTTTTCCCTCCCCACCCTTACTGCTTTCCGGAGGGACCACTCTCTCTGTGACTCCCTTGTCTACTCCACACTCCCCTCCAGCCCCACCATACCCGGCACTTTCCCCTGCAATCGCAGGAAGTGCTACACCTGCCCCTACACCTCCCCCCTCACCCCCATCCCAGTCCCCAAGAAAACCTTTCACATCCAGCAGATATTTACCTGCACATCTGCTAATGTGGTATACTGTATCCGCTGTTCCAGATGTGGCCTTCTCTACATTGGGGAAAGCAAGCGGAGGCGTGGGGACCATTTTGCGGAACACCTACACTCGGTTCGCAATAAACAACTGCACCTCCCAGTCGCGAACCATTTCAACTCCCCCTTCCATTCCTTAGACGACATGTCCATCCTGGGCCTCCTGCAGTGCCACAACGATGCCACCCAAAGGTTGCAGGAACAACACCTCATATTTCGCTTGGGAACCCTGCAGCCCAATGGTATCAATGTGGACTTCACAAGCTTCAAAATCTCCCCTCCCCCTACCGCATCCCAAAACCAGCCCAGCTTGTCCCCGTCTCCCTAACCTGTCCTTCCTCCCACCTATCTCCTCCTCCCACCTCAAGCCCCACTCCCATCTCCTATCTCCTATCCTCATCCCACCCCCTTGACCTGTCCGTCCTCCCTGGACTGACCTATCTCCTTCCTAACTCCCCACCTACACTCACCCTTAATGGTTCCACCCCCGCTTCTTTGACCTGTCTGTCTCCTCTCCAACTATCTTCTCCTTTATCCATCTTCTATCCGCCTCCCCCTCTCTCCTTATTTATTTAAGAATCCCCTTCCCCTCCCCCATTTCTGAAGAAGGGTCTAGGCCTGAAACGTCAGCTTTCCTGCTTCTCTGATGCTGCTTGGCCTGTTGTGTTCTTTCAGCTCTACACCTTGTTATCTCTGTATAAAAACCTTAACTTGAGAAAGATTTTAGATACAGAGCACAGAGAGAGCTGTACAAAATCATGTTTTCAGAGGTTTATGAGCTGGACTCTGAACACAGGGTTGGGCTGGGGCACGTGGGATGTTTCCTAGCCAAATTCTGCATGATTAAATCCAGTTTATTGTTTGGCAATGCACTGTGTATTGAGGAAAAAATTTATTCATTGAAGAATTCTGGTTTTCATGTTAACTAGCGTCTTGCATAACTTAGTGCATCTTTACACACTGTTAATGGAATAAATCAATCAATAAAGGAAATGGCACATTACATTTTACAGAAGGAGTGGTTAGTGCGAGCAGATTCATCAATAAGTGTATTCTAATTGGATAAGTAATGGAACAGGAAATGTGTGTTGGACTATTGAGAAACAGCAAAGGTTTGGGGCCTAATTGGTTTCTACCTTCACAGCGAGGAAAATGCATAGTCAAATAGCTTTACTCTGTATTATGTGATTTCATGATTTTAACTGTCACTTTCTTTTATTGTTAACTGAAGGTAAATCTAAGCAAACATTCTGACATCAGTGAGACGTTTAATTTCCAAATAAACCTATTTCTGAGTGTGACCCAGCTACGTTCTGTCACTGGTTCAAAGAAGATCTAACCAAAGGCATATATTCATTTAAATTTAACGTAGATTGTCAGAGACCAATAATTTTGACAGATCAACACTTTTGGAAATGTTCTATTATTCTTTCTTTATTATCATTTTTTTGGGCATCAACTTGTTCGACTTTACTGATTTCAAATTAATGTGAATTTTAACAGTACGTTTTATTTTATATCTGTAATTACTTTCTTCTGAAAGTGGTTTTTTGTGATCGTGGGAGCTTGTCCCAAAGTTTCCCAGTTGTCCTTTGGTTTCATTTTGTGCAGATTCCGCTGTCGTTTTACTGTTACTCATTGGGAACTGCCTCTCCAGTGTCTCTGACAATTTCAATTCCCTC